CACACTCACTCATTTCACTCATTGAAAAGCGTTGAGAGCGGTCAGTGTATCTTTTACTGACGCGACACTTCTCATAAGGGCGAATGACCTCTGCAGAGGAAATCCCCTCCTCTCCTGCTGCCTTCAGGTGCTGTTGGGAATATTCTAATCGTGCTTAAAAGCCAAGTTCACATTTAAAAAAAACGGTAGGTGGCAGTGTAACTGTAAAGCTATCATGTGTTCCACGCACTCCGAGGATAATGTTTCGGATACCGACTGTTTTTGTAATAAATAACACATTCAGATTACTTTGTGGAGGCTTTGACGTTCTCTGCAGAGTCAATTCCTAGAATTTAAGTCAAGCAAAGCAACAGATGGTTTGTTCAGGCAGCAGCAACGACAGTATGTGTCTCGAACTTAGATAAAAGAGCCTACGAGGAGAACCTGAAGGCAACATGCATTTGGGAGGAGGGGGAGGAGCTGAGCCAGAGGTTGACATGTGGGAATGACTCAAGTTTTGTTACACATTCCAAGCATTGTTTCCTCCTCCTCCTCCTCCCTAACCCAGCACAGGGCACTGAGGCCAAGGACTTTCCAGAGCTGGGAGAGATGGAGCGGATGGTGGATCAAGGAAGAGGAAGGATGACTCGCATTTTCCACTTTTGCCTTTTTAAGAGAACTAATTATCTCATTCTGCAGCTGAATAAATAGTTAGAGGGGTATTATATATACTTGCCTGGGTTTATGTAATTTGCCTGCATCACTCACCTGCAGCAGAGGGCCATGCTTATCTTTAGAAAAGATTTAAGGACTAAATCAGAAGGACTCCCCCAGTGCCCACATATCTTTGTTGTCTGTATGCCCAAATCATTTTGAAGTAACTGAATGAGAGAACAATAAAGTGAGATAATATGCATAATACAAACAATCTAATTCATGCGACGCATGACATTTGACATGGTTTTGCTCAATATCCAACACTTTGAGGAAGATGAAATTTCAAAGAAAATCAAGCAGAGCCTGAAACAATGGCAGCAGTCGTTTGTTAAGTCTGGGCCTGAAATGTCGTCAGAAAACTGTCACAGCATCACAGCCACTCTCACCAACGGGGTGGCCGTGCAAGCAAGTCATACGCAGCGTAGATAATCAAAGACACAAATAAAATCAGAGAAAGTGAGAGAGAGACAGAGCATTATGAGTAAGGGTCGACTGGAACAGACATTTGAAGTGACTCACATCAGCATCAGAGTTGAACATCAGGACACTGTCACCGAGGATGGAATAACAGAATAATAATTCTTCACGAAAAAGGAAATGTCCTCTTTCTTTTCTCTTACTATGGAAGTATGAGTCTCAATCTAAAGAGCAATCAGAAAAACATCATGTACCTCATCACTTTGTATCTTAATTTCACCATGTATTTTTCTACATATTATGGAATAGTTTTCCCGTATACCAACATGCTTTGCTTCGCTTGTGATTCAAAGAGACTCATGATCATATCCTTTTGAACCGGAGGGATATCTGTCTCCTGTCAAATCCCTTTACTTTCATAAGACTTCACTTCCTCCAGACATTGAAGAGGCATTTGGGAGACATTCTACCAGAAGACATGGGTTTAAGTGTCTGTCCCGCTTAAGTATCTTTTAGCAAACCACAGAAGACAACCAAGAAGACGCCAGCTGGAGGGCAGCTGCTCTCCAGCTGCGTAATATCTGACCTGAATGTCCTGCAAGGAGAAACAGACGAGGTATAACACGCTTCAACCGCCTCACAGGGAATAACAGGCCCGGTCGGTGTCGGAGTGGGGCAATCTTTCATAGGGAGAAACTTCAGAGATTGGGCCAAAATAAACTGGTACACGTGGATTCAGGGCAACAAACTTTATTAGAGAACTAGAGTTTCTACGACAGGTGCATGCGTCATCATCAGAGTCCAAAGTTTGCTGCCTTAAATCGGAGTTCTCCGGAAAACTTCGGACCAAATCTCTGGGGTCCTGTTAGGAAAACTCAACTGAGGATCATAAAAAACTGAACCCGGGTCTGTTTGAAGAGGAACTTTCAGATGATGAATTATTTGACATCATCTGAACAGGGGTTGAATAATGGATGATCGTGCTCATTTACAAATGACACCAAAAACTACATGAAAAAGCTACTCGGTCACTGCGAACAGTCACGACCCAGCCCGCACACTGAGGTCAACAGTGGCCTTCAGCAGTGACTCTGCATTGAATACTTTATTGATTAAATAAGGGGGGAATTTTTTGTCATCAGAAAACATTTACAAAAAAAATCAATCCCTGTTGTGTCTCATTGTAGATGGTAAAATTGCTTTCCATAAATAGCCCACGTAATCAGGGCAATGCCACAGTGCCAACTGCTTTGACCATGCCTGACTAACAGAAGGTAGCTCATTTTGACCATATAAGTGCATGCGATTGTGTTAGCAGAAAACCATTGTAGACACTGAGGCCGTTGAGTGCCAATTCAGCACATGACGCCTGACTCATCCTCTCTGCTCTGAGTCACTCCCTCCGCTGCTCTGGTCCAGGATCTGTGGCTCTTTTGCTGGAACTGGCTCCTCTCTCCTAATGCCGCCACTCCACTGGGAAGGAAGCCCGCCAAGGATGCAGACCTGGGCCCTGCTGTTGTGGGTCTTTCTTTGTGAAGACAAACACTGGGTGTCACGATGGTGTGGCGAGGGAGTGGGCCACAGCCACACCGCTTCCAGCAATTCTGTCACGTTTTTAAAAAACAGATTTATGGAGACAGGTTAGCCGCTTGAAGCGAAACGGGTCGGAATCAGGACTTAAACTCAAGGTAAAACGAGACAACAAGGTATGAGCTATTACTCTTCACCATTTATCCCCTTCCCCCTTTATAGGTGTTGTTTTTTTCACAGCTTTGGGGCAACATCAAAGCAAAAAAACAAAGCTGTAGCTAAGCTCATTATACAAATGAGCTTTGGGGTCTACTGCACACACCAAGCAGTTAACACGTGAAAGATGATCCCAGAAGTTAGGAGGTAAACAACTCTAATAAGGTGGTGCGTGTCTCACTGGTCACAGAAGAATGTCCCACAGCGCATCTAACACACTGAAGAGCTGCCGTATGGATCTGTTTAAACTGCATTTTTAGCCACAGCAGCAGCGTGGCCGTGGGGAAGTTGGTCATCCAGACAGAATTATCTCAACAACAACTGGATAAATTGCCATGAAATGTTGTTCCAACAAAAATGGTCCCCAGAGGATGAATCATTTCTTGAGTGATTCTTGTTTTTTTAGTGAAATGTCTCAACTATGTCGTGATGGTGGCCAGAGGATTCACTTTAATGACTTTAGTGAACCGCTGTTCTTTCATTTAGTGCCAACCGCAGGCCGAAGTTTTCTCTTATCCATTGGAATAGTTTAAAACCAACTTGATTGGCACTAAACTTTGTACAGATATTCATGGTTGCCAGATGATCATTCAATGAGACTTTGGTGACCCCCTGACTGAGGTTGAGATTTCTGGTGAAATGTCAAAATAAGTATTGTATGGATTACCCCACAATGTGGTGGGCTACACATTCGGCCCTATCAGGTACAATTAGTTGGTGACCCGTTAGCTTTTCATTCATCGTTGGTTTACGACCAAATACCTGCAAAAGCGTCGACATTCCATTATTTTGTGTTCACTGTTATTTTGGAAATGTGAGCATGTTAACACAATGCACTACAATGGTGAACATGGTAAACAGTATACCTGTTGAACATGGTAAACAGTATACCTGTTAAACATCAGCCTGTTAACATTTTCATAGGAACGTGTTAGCATGCTGATGTTAGCATTACAGAGCTGCTAGCGTAGCCGTACACTGACCCTTAGTCCTGTACACTTTGTTCACAAATGGTTTTAAAACTGCAAATATATTGCTTGTTTTCCTTTCACTATGAAATGATGTCACTACCAAAACAAGCTGGCATTTGAGTGGCTTCCAGGTCCACACCGCATCACTTGGCTCTGAAGAGCTTGACCTTTGCATCCTAAAACAGAAACATGGATCTCTCCAATGTCCCGCACATATACAGTATACTCAGTATCACAGTAGCCGGCGGTTGTGTATAACTAGCTGTATAAACCGACACACTCTCCTGTGGGAACAGAACATCTGTTAGGGACATTGTAGGATTGTGACACATGCAGTCATTGTGGACAGGAAGTCTCAGCTGGCAAAGAGGAAATGGGCATCCGCGCATGGGAAACAGGAAGGGCTCATAATATTAAGTCAAAATACAGTACTATGTTAGCAACTTGATACTTGGCACCTAAGCTAATTGGCCTGATCAGGCAAATAGGAACATGTATTTTAAATTTCCAACGAATCATAATAAATCCACTAAAAAGGATTTATGGCAGCACATCTACCGCCATTTTGTTCCTCATTCAAGGCTACGAGTGGGAAAATCCTCCAACATGATACAGAAGGTTATTGTTTCCCACAGCTGTGTGCAGCTCAGTGGCTGTGAACGAGCCGCAGAGTGCAAAGTCATTTGTTTCTCTTTCTCCAGATTCTGGTAAATTACAGCAGAGCTGCTCAACTGACTTAGCCAATCCAAATCCTCTTGACTCCACATCGACTGTAAGCAAATAAGCTCCGGCGCTGACAAAGCACAATTCCAAACAGTGACGTATTACAGCAGATTAGCCTTCCTGGTTCTTTTTGATACAGTAGACTTCAAAACGTGGGCTGTTAAAAGTCAACCATTCTCCCTCGTTGGACAAATCACAAACAGGAAATGCAGCATTTAATTCCGAATATACTTAAACTAGCTTTGATATTCATATTGCAAATTTTAGACACACCATCAAAAGGAGATCTTATTAACACATGGCCGTCGCTGTTATATAATGTTGTTCCTGAATAAGCAGGAACAAGAAATCTAGTTGCAATGGTGCCTGGAGTATCTAACTTTGATTTTCATTTCAGTGCAAACATATTCCCAGCATGTCATGAACCCACACAAACAAACCGACTGCTCAAATGTAAATACGTTTATTGAAAACACAAACACTTTCTCACACAGGACAAAAAGAAGAAGAAATGGCACATGTTTTTCTTCAACAGAGTATGAAAAAGCAAAGTCTGCTCAACAGTATTCTTGGATATGGTGAATAAAAACCCACGGACACATTTTTCTTTAATCAGAACATCTTTGATAGACGCTGTGGTGGAAGCATGTTGCTATAAATGGACAGTGAAACAGAACAGGAGCAACGAGTGACATTAAACAAGCTTCATGTCCTACCATTTGAGCATCTTACAAAACAAACTACAGCTATATTAAAGTGTGAACAGAATGTAAAACAATAATAAATAAATGTTAGACGCTACATCACCTTAGCAGAGTAATAAAAGATGCTTTAAAATCAATCGGGATGACAGACCAACAGGAAGATTCACCGCCGAGGAGCCGCCTCTACCGAACGTCGCCGGGAATCTCAATCCATCACATCGGTGGGACTTGGTCCAATTATCTGGGGCGAAAGCATGACAGCAAAAGACACGCTCATTATTCACTCACAGCTGAAACAATTACAAAAAAGCTCTACAACAGCTAATAAATGGACCTTGAGGTCTTTTAGACTAATTGATTTGAGTTGGCCAGAACTGAGAGGGGAATTTTAAAAAGCCTCCTTTTAATCGGCCAGACAATGAATCGATAACGTAAAGTCGTCAGCTGCGGCTCTCACCTGTCCAAACGGTTGACCACGTCCCTCACAGTGTTGATGAGATGCTCGTTGTCTTGCGGGCTGCTGACGATGATGCTGTGGAGCTTCTTCATGTAGGAGTCGATGCTGTCCAGAGTGGGCGTCTCTCCGCTAGCTGTGGGACAACGAGAATGTGATGTCAGTATGTCAGGTTATAATTTGCTAAACTGCCAAATGTCTCACTCAAACGGGGGTTGACGACGACGTGAGGTTGCAACTGATACGTTGTTTTTAATTCTTGTTGTAGAGTGTTGATTATTTCTAATTACTGCCCACGTAGTCGATGAAAACCTTCAATCAGCCTTTGTGTTTCCAGCTATGGACGTCAGCAGAAAGGGGCAGAAACCACGAGAAGAGGAGGCCAATCAGAAGACGAATGGTCAACGATCAACAACACCAGCTACTCGTCATGACCGACGCTTTTGCTGCGAGCAAACCAAAACCATCAAGACTACGAGGGGTGCGAAACAGAAATATGGCATCTAGAATATATCTAATATTGAGCAAGCGCTGTGCCTTGCATCTCAAGTCGTCAATTCTAGTAATTCTAGGTAAAGTAGGGTAATAAATAGAATTTATTTATTTCTCCTAAACTGAATGTGCCACAGAGCCGAGGCCGAGTATGAATCACCTTTCCTCCTCGAGCTCTTATGAAATAATTCCAGCGCTGTCAATGTGCGCTCTTTGCAGAGTCTTTGTCTCTCTGCTGCTTGAGCAAGAAATCATAATAACTAATAACTCATAACTCAACATGTGTAATCTGCGGGAAAGAAACAAGGTATTTGTTGAGCCTGGTTTCCGGCTGAGTGAAGCGACGCTGGTTCTCACCTGGCAGAGGCACGGCGGAGAAGCTGGAGGTGAGCGCCTGGCGCAGCGTCTCCAGGTGCTGGTGGAGGAGCCCGTTGCGTCCCCTCTCTTGCATCACGTCGCCCTCCAGCCTCTCCACCGCCCCGCGCATGCTCTCCACGTGCTTCTGCAGCGCCGCGTTGCGCTCCTCGTACTCCATGTTGGTCTTGCGCAGCTGCCGCATCTCCGCTTCGCGCGCTGTTGAGAAAAAAAAAAAAAAACGACGTTAGATAATAGGGGAGGAGTCCGGAAGGGACGATTGGTGCCCATCATTCATTTTTTATTTGCCCCGAGTGGTGCGTTATTTTAAAGTTTAGGGCATCACGGACTCCGGTGGACTGTGCGGTACTATTCTGGGACGCCGGAGCACTATAAAACAATGTCCTCCTGGCGGTAGCGGAGGAATGTGTTTAGAAACACTTAGATAAATGGAGGTTTTAAAAAAAGCACCAGCTACAAAGTATTTCTCAACAAGACAGCCGGCTGCGTTTACCTTTGCTGTGGTTGAGGAACTCCTCTGTGAAGATCGGTATGTCAAACACGGTCCTGTCCTTCCCTTCCGCATCCTTCTGTTGACAGCAAGAGGGAAGGGGATAACATGAACAGAGGAAACATTTGGCCGCACAGACTGACAGCGAGAGCCGGCCATTTATCTAGCTGGGTGGTAGGTGGGTGGGTGGGTAATTGATTTCATACCTGGCCACGGGGGAAATACATTGATACGGTTGAAGAAATGGGGGGGGAGGGTGTAATTTCATCAACAGTGCTGCTAAGAAATCAGAGGTCCTGGAATGGTTTGTAATAAAAATGTGTTTCTCAACAGCAGCACAAGAGACGGTGCAGGTTTCACTTGTTTACTTCTTCCTCTGAGAGAACGCTCCCTCCTTCCTCTTTTCTGCAACGAAGGACACTTTATGCTGAACCTCGTGTCCTTTTAGTTCTACAGGGAAACACTGGTATTCCCACAGGAACGCTGATTCCAATAGAAGTCACCTTGACCGTAACCCCTTAAGGAGTTATGCTACAAGGCTCACACGTGGAAGTTAATAAAAAATGAATTACACACTCAGTAGGAGCCAAGTGTTTGGATTACGAACACAAACACGGCACCGAAGCGGATTAAACAGGCTTTAGCAACGCAACAATGAGCACTTAATGGGTAGAGCAAGGGGGGGGGGGGGGGCAGACGCAACAGATTTGAGTTCCTGGGTGAGAAAATAGCATAAACAGACTCCAGCCATGATTACACAAACTCACAATGAATGAGTTTAATTCGATCCTTGTTGATAAAGAATTGACGCGGATCTTTTGAGGACACTGTCTGTTCTAAACAATGGTTTGAACTATTTGAATGTCTGTTTTTCGTGCATTACGACGGAACAGTTTTGTTTGTGTTTATTCCTGTCGCTCGCTTTAAAAGCCTGCAATGGAGGAGGAGTTACTGAATCGTGAAGCTGAAATAAGGAGTTATCTTTATATTAGGAATATCACTGAAGTAATGTCAATCCATCGCATGAGTTTCACCGAGTACATCGTTGCCAAATTGGTGGACATCGCCCAACCCTAATTTCTTCCCTTCATTAAATATGATATTTACCGCTTAAGGAGAGTGATTAACGGCAGGAAAGAGTTACTGACCTCGTGAAGAGCCTCGTTGGCTACCTGGTGCCCAACATCTGGAAAGGAAGGAAAGAATAAAGACAGAGCTCAGCAGATGATTCACATTTCCTCCGGCGCAGCGGCTCTTTAGTAGATCGTCAACTGATGGAACGAATGAAAGTTATCCAACAAAATAAATAAAAAATCTCCGCACTCTACATTGTGAACCGACTGAAATGAGGCAGAGCTGTTTGTGTCGTCAATATTTCTGATATCCAAAGTGAGATATTACCCACAGTAACAAAGGAGGAAGACATAACGTAGACCATGTGTTGTGTGAGCACAGTGACAGCTCATTGACCTCAAGCTGAACTATTATGAACTGGAAGAGTATCCCTGTTCCTCTGCCACATTTCCACTGACTGAGAGAAAAGCAAATAGTGAGTTCCAACATCAAACAATGGAAAATATTGAAATGTTGTAGTTAAACACTGCAGAAGGTTTGAGGGTGGGAAATAAAAAAGAAAACAGATCCAACCACCACATGATGCTTGTTGCGTTGGTCGATGCTCAGTACCGATTCATGTTCATGTGGGTCAACCTCTCCAAATCTCACTAAACATTTTAAGTACTTTTGAGACCCCCCCCGCTGCTCTTCTAACCGGGTCTCACCTCCCCTGTGCCGATTGCCCTTCTGCTTCTCCTGCAACTTCCTGGTGAAGTGTTTGTAGGCTTCGGTCTTCTGGTACTTCTCCAGCTCCCGCATGTAGCGCTCCTTATCTCGCTCCGCCTCGTCCAGGTATCGCTGCAGAGAGAAGACAGAGAGGTGAGAGGGGCCGCCAAAAAACAGAAAAAGAGGAAAATGAGGACCGACGACGACGGAGGATTGTGGGTGAGATGGCGCGATGAGTGGGAGTAATTATTTCTAATTAGGATTAGTTCCTGTTGAAAGACAGAAATCGGTAATTTCCATTTTCAATGACCTACATTCGCTGGAGGCTTGTAATGGGATCTTGTAACATCATTAGTTTGGGAATTAGAGGAAACGCTAGAAAAGCCATCTTCATGCAAAGACCTTGTCCCGGGATACAGGCGTATCTGACTCAGCTTTGAACTGGTGGTGCAGCAGCGTGATAGAAATCAGCAGCAAAGCTCTCCGGGCTCCGGCCCACCTTCGGATTTAAAAACAAAACATGTCCAGATTTCTCAGATCTTCTCTGGAAAGAAAGACAAAAAAAAAACCTCCCTGCAAGATCTAACTTTGAATAATAGCAGCGAGGCATGAGGTGTTTTACTAACGGACAGAGATGGGGAATTGTGTTAAATAACATGTGAAGCAGTGACGCCCGGAGCGTCTACGTGAACACGGCTGCGATAACGGTCCTATCACTGCAGGAGAGCAGCTCCACCCTTTGTATCTTCTATCTCTTTCTGCTATTCTTGCATCACAGTTGAGGGAGTATCCAGGATGCAATACAAGATGCCATCAACTACGGCGAGACAATCTGCAAAAGGATGTCAGTCTACCAAACACAGTCCGTGTTTGGACTGACTCGACACGCTTTTGTTCAAACACTGTTTCTGTGAACGGGGGGGGGGGGGGGTTGCAAGTCTCTGCTGGTTCTGCTGGTTAGAGAGTGTTAAATGTGTTTGGGGAAAGTCGTAAGTGCCAGCATGTTGCAGATGAATATTTCAGTCCAGTCTTTCGGGGCACCGTTGGTGCAATTACTGAGGGCAAAATGTTATGACAATTAAAACTCCACCACCTTGTTAATCAAAAACTGGACAGATGTTGCTGCTTCTGCCTCTGGTCTGTTTATTTTATTCCACTGCTTTCTTCTAAACCTGGATGGACCAAGATATTCCCCATCATTGCACTACTTAGGGATGTCCCCATCAAGTCTTTGATCTGAGTCATCTAATACTGCTGCACATTGCACACTTCAAGTACATTAAACTTATTAAAATCAATCCAATTGAATAGCTCTGAAATGCATTAAGGAAAGAACGGCATCCCAGCTGTTCCTGCATGTTATTTTTTTCCTCTCTGTAATCTTCTCTGTAAAAGTCTCCTCCGGTGTTTGTTGCTTCAACGCCTCCTTTGCCTGATACACATGAACGAACCGGACTTTATTTTATCTTTTGTGCGGATTACATTTATAAATTGGCTTTGTGCTCGTGGTGTTTTTGTGTCACTTGCAGTGGCTCGGTGAGTGTTGTTGAGATTGCATTGCAACATCCTCCAGCACTAATCCACATAAACGTAAGCTTTTTGGTAGGTAATCTTAAACAGGGTGGAATACAAAAACTTTGCGAAGCTCCGGCACACGATCCCTCCCAGCCGTTTGCTCGACTGGAGCTCCTTCACCCACCTGCTTGTCCTCGGGGGGCAGCTTGCTCCACTCGTTGCCCAGCATCCTGGTGATCTCTGGGAAGGGCACGTCTGGACGCTCCGCCCGTAGCTGCTCCCGCCGGTCGTTCATGAAGCGAACGTAGCCTGTGAGGGGGGCCTTGGGCGCATTGCTGTCCTTCATCGGCTTCTTCCTCTTCCTCCCCTTGGTCCAGCTGCCACGTCGGGGCTTCTGCAAAGATAATGAAAAAACAGATATGTTTTTGAAGGTTCAGGTAGAACCCCCGCCCTCATGATATACACTGGCGGGACATTCTTGGAGTTTGAATTGGAAAAAACTGAAAGAAATATGTCATTTGATATCTGTGGGTTCAGCTCTTACCTCATCTCCATTTCTCTGGCTGTTGTTGTCGGCATTGGCTGCTGGAGAGCCCGTCGGCTCCTCCATGACTTCTATGACTACGGGGTGGGGGGG